AGGCTTACTATACTATTCGATATTGGACGGTAATGGGTAAATTGAAAAAATAATAATCTAAGACAAGTTTTTGAACAATAATTATATACGCATTTCCATTTTATATAAAAATTATGATTCTTACATCAGTAATTTCTTATAAAATGCTAGGAAAATGCTGTAAAATGCCCTTATGTTAAAAACAAGAAAGAAAGTAAAGAAAACCTTAATTTGTGTTAGTTTTACGTATGTGTAATATTTTAAAACTCTGCATGGTAGTTTTTTTTCTAATGTTTAAAATAATTTCTGGTGCAATGTAATTAAGGTAAAATTGCTCTAATTTTTTAACTATCATCGATCATGTTCCGCAGAAACTTGTTACAACTTGATTGCGTACGGTGTGTGGGCTATCCTACGAAATCTATGTTAATTATTTTAAGTTTTTATAACATCATACAGGGTAGAAATATAAACTAATTATTCTTTATTGTGTAGTAGGTGAGTTTTAATTTTAGTGAAATTTAAAATACTATAAAGTAAATGTTACAGCGCCCCCCTAACCCACATCAACGCCCCCCATTTTTTCCTGGGCCCCTTAACGCCCCCCTCTAGGTTTCAAACGCCCCCAAGGGGGCGTTATCGCCCACTTTGAGAAAGACTGCGCTAAACGAACACCTACCCCTATAATTAGTCATGGTCAGTGTTTGGTGGTCTAGTGCCGGTATAGTTAATTACAGCTTCTGAGAGAAGAGAGAGAGAAGGTTGATTAATCGCTAGTTCCCGCTGCTGGAGGACAAGTAGGACCTCTCGTGAGTCCGCACGGGTAGGTACCACCGTCCTGCCTATTTCTGCCGTGAAGCAGTAATGCGTTTCGGTTTGAAGAGTGGGGCAGCCGTTGTAACTATACTTGAGACATAAGAACTTATATCTCAAGGTGGGTGGCGGCATTTATGTTGTAGATGTCCCTGGGCTCCAGTAACCACTTAACACCAGGTGGGCTGTGAGCTCGTCCACCCATCAAAGCAACAAAAAAAAAAAACATGCGGCAACATACGATCTCTAAGCTACAAGTGCTAGGGCTGGAAGTTTAACGTCATCTACTGCATTCACCGTACAATTGCGCCGACAGACTTCTACTTTTTCCAAAGTTTGGACAACTAACTTCTTGGTGAACAAAAAAATACCCGAGAGTTCATACAAAACGAATAAGAAGAGTTTGTTAACTCCCATACGACTTGAAGAAGGGCATTGGAAAATTACCATTGCGTTGGCAGAGGTACATCGTTACACTATGAATCGTTTGATTGATAGGCAGCGGCTTGTCTCTGCCCCTGGCATTGCTGAAGTCCATGGGCGACGGTAACCACTCACCATTAGGTGGGCTGTATGCTCGTCTGCCTACAAGGGCAATAAAAAAAAAAAAAAAAAAAATTTAAATAAAAATGTTTATAAAAATACCTTTAACTTTCTATATACTAAACGGCAATTTCGTAGGTAAAGAATATGTATTGCCATTTACTCGTCTTAGATTTAATCCAAAATTTTAGTTCACACAAACAAATTTCTAATATCTAGAAAGTTCCACGTGAAATATTTTCGTTTGTTTAGCCTTTATTGTCCGAACGTAATACAGTAGCTGTTGTTTTCTAGAACAATTGCCGATCGCTAGACATCCCTTGTTTTGATCTCCTAATCCCGATTATAACTTACTTTCTATTCATTAAGTTTTTCATGAAAGACCTCTTACATTTGTTGTTTATTCGAGCGATTTAGTTGGAAAAATATTAACGTATTTTTCTTATACTGTAGAGAGTAAATAAGTTTGTGTTCTCATAAATGCTAAATTTGGTTTGTTTAGGGTAGAACTTTTTTCTTTTGTATGTTTGCTTTATGCACGCTGTTTGAAAAAAAACTACGCCTTAATTAAGACTCTGTATTCAGTATTTTCTTTTTCAGGAACCGGACATTCAGTTGTTGATTGAGTATAGCTTCGATATCTGTCGATATTCGAAATATCCTTCTTTATTATCATTTCGGGGCTGCGAAGCTGCTGGGTTTGCCTAATGGCGAGGAGACCAGGATCCTAATTTAACTAATGTTCGAACATCGTGTTGATCGCACAAAAATCTGTGGCAAAGTGTAAAACTAGATGCGAGAATTAATTAAATTTCACTTACCGCTCATACTTAATCTTAATTGTTTACCTGAGCTCCTAGACAATCTCATAGCAACATCACGGATGCCGTCGCCTACCTTGAGACAGGAAATCGAAGCCTTATTTGTATTATAAATTGCCGTCACGTCTTTCAAGCTTCCACGCACCAAACTTTCGCGGTAGACATAATTGGAGGAATATATGAATATATATTGAAGTCGTCGTAGCCTAAAGGATAAAATGTCAGGTGCATTCGTGTTAAGCGATGCACCGGAGTTCGAATCTCAGGCGGGTACCAATTTTTCTAATGAAATACGTACTTAACAAATGTTTACGATTGACTCCCACGGTGAAGGAATAACATCGTGTAATAAAAAAACAGACCCGCAAAATTATAATTGGTAGGTACCGCCACCCTGCCTATTTCTGCCGTGAAGCAGTAATGTGATTCGGTTTGAAGGGTGGGGCAGCTGTTGTAACTATACTTGAGACCTTAGAACTGATATCTCAAGGTGGGTGGCGCATTTACGCATTGTAGATGTCTATGGGCACTAGTAACCACTTAACACCAGGTGGGCTGTGAGCTCGTCCACCCATCTAAGCAATAATATATATATATATCGTGCTAGCTTATAACACATGCTACTACTATTCTGGTAGTACCCACTCACGTTTCCCTACCTTATTCCTTGTTTAACTTCTAATTCCTACCTTAAGTACAGATACAGCATTTAGCAAACTCTCTGCCGCTAATAGTATGTTCCAGTTTTACAGCCGCTGTACCAAGCCAATCACCAAAGAGTAATGGCGGTAATGACACTAATTGTTTTAGAATTGTCCAACGTTAGTTCAATCATGATCTGCCCATCAGTATTCTTCAATTCAAAAGAAGTTCAGTAAAATAAAAAGCAGCATTTGCCAAGTGCAAAGGTGAAATCGTTATAATAAAGATAGCACCTTATTGTTTTATTGCGGGTGCATAATAAACTCGCCGTTCCGTGGTCATTACCTCAAACGAGAGCAGACGTGGCGGCTGTAATTCTTCGTAATGGTGTCATCAATCGTGACCAGTTTTTGTGGGGGCATTAAATTAAAATTTTATGTGAAAAAATGACAAGTGACGGTTCGGTTAACGATGATGCGTATTTTGATGGGTTTTTATTAGGGTAATTCGTATTTTAACGGGCTTGATGAAATCAAACTGATCATAGTGTGAAATAAAATCTACATTGCCCCAGAAGCCTGCTCCTGTGGCTGAATATAGTAAAGTATATTTTATAACAATTTATTTTATATTTAATTACTGGCCCGCAATGTTCCGTAGTCAAAATTCGGCCATAAGCGTTAACACCTGAGCGTCACCATTAATTCAAAGTATAAATTTTGCTGTTTTTTTTTTTGTTATTGATATTGTGTTTGTAAAGGTAATTTGAAAATGCTTTTACAATATATTTTTTTATAATACTATTACTCAATGAAATCAAAATTATCATAGTGGAATAAAATGTACATTGCGCCAGAAGCCTGCTCGTGATGTTGAACACAAGTAAAATGATAACAATTTATGTTATTAGTATATAATTATTTTATAGTTAATTACTGACCCGCAATGTTCCGTAGCCAAAATTCAGCCATAAGCGTTAACACCTGAGCGTCACCATTAATTCAACATATTAAATTTTCGGTTAATTTTTTTTGTCATTGATGTTGTTTTTGTAAAGGTAATTTATAAATACTTTTACAATTTTTTTTTTTTTATAATACTATTAGAATAGTTTTTATAATACTAATTACTAAAAAAATGAAAATCAATTAACAAACAGGTATAATATATTATTTCTGTGGGTATAATGGTACTGAACTGTATTGTCTTTGGCTGTTTATGTATTATGTAATAAATCTTATTTGTAACAATCAGTAAGTGTTGGATGTTGATTAGCCTCAACTGATAATTTTGGACTGGATTATGGAGGGTTATCTTGCAACTGACACGAAACCTAGAAACCAGTAATAATTGGATGAATCCAATTCACAAAATGATTTGACTTACTTAACTTTTGTGTAGTAGAAAGATTGTAACAACTGTAGGTTCTCATTTAACGAACCTCAAGCACCATTCGCTGTTCTTGTTAAACCCGTCACTTACGACGAAAGTTCGGCGATCAAACTAACCCTCAGAGACAGCTCGCTGAGTTTCTCGCTGGATCTTCTTGGTGGGCCGCGTTTCCGATCCGGTGGTAGATATTGGGAAACACTGCTCTTGGTAAGGCTTGTGTTAGCAACGTCCTCAGGTTAGAGCCCCGTAAGCTTACTTACTTGCCCAGCTACGCAGGTATAACCCCAGAATACCAACATAGGTTGGAAAATGAATGTTCTACAATCACTTAAAAAACAATCCTACTATTTGAACTTGATTTATCACGTCACACTCATTTTTTTTCCGAGAAAAGCTTTCGATCAATTTCGGA